GGCTTGGCCCACACATTGAATAAACAAAATATAACAAGATATAGAATAGCCACTCATTCAGTGAATGGTGTCCATCCTGTGCAGTAAATGAGACAGGGTACTGTGGAAAGAATATGTGATTGTGGAATTTAAAAGTGTATTATACACTAATATACACAAACGGGATAAATCAAGGCAACCTTAATTATGGCTTTATCTAACTTCTGAGTGCTTGACTTTGTACCTCCTTGTTCTTTTAATGTATTTTTAAATGGACAAAATGAGTACATGGATTCTGTTCATTTTATTCTCTCATTAATGAGTTATAGAGTGCTGGAGAATTTTTCAGAATACATTGTGATTTACTTTTGGAATCAATAGGAGTTTTGCATGAATAAACTGCTTTTTTTGTGTGTGTGGTTTGAGACAACAAGTGAACACCGTAATAATTTAATAATAGTCATTTAGAAAAAAATGAGAGCAGTATCCACTACTTAGCTCATAACTAATCATTCAGACCACAATAAAATTATGAAATAAATTTTTTAAGATAACTGAAAGAGTAGGATTTTGTGCCAGAGTTAGAAACGCTTGTGTGCCAGATATCAGAGGGGTAGCCGTGTTAGGACTCCTCGCTGCTTTTGCAGATTCAGACTGTGGCACCTTATAGACTCCTCGCCACTTTTGTGTACCAGAGTTTCCTGACTCAGGAACTAACTCAGCACCCTGTCACTGAATGCCCCACCAGGTTATATTAATTAGAAGGCAAGCAATTGGCAAAGACGGCCAGCTAACTTTGGCAAATGGTGAAACCACTGAAGGTCTAATTGAATGGAAGTATGCCCAGCAGCTAGGACTTTATAAGTAAAAAGAAAGGAGGAGCTGCAGGAGAATAAGATCCCTGAAGGAATGGATATGTTGTCAGGACTGACTGCTACTACTACAGTACCTTTGCCCAGAAGAAAGTGAGAGAGCTGGTGATGGATTGTAAATATAAAAGAGAACAAAGCACATTAGTTGCTGAGAAGAGCAGTAGTAGTTCTGATCTGAGATTGAGGCTGGAAAGGACTCTCAAGGCCTGAGCCTGCTTAACAGGTTGTTTCTGCAGTGCTGAACTTAGTAGATAACATTGCATGAAACATTCTGTCATTCACATAACTTACCTATAGTAAAGTTAGTAAAACTCTTCACATCCTACAAAATGTTATTGCAAGCTGTCACTGCAGATTAGTATATTTTATTCCATTTCCATTTATAATGAATACCCTTTCAGTTATATTTTGTTTAGAATTATTTGGTTTATTCTGTGGAGACAGAAGGCAACTTTCCATGCTAACATCTGGGTTTGCTATCTCATAATTACTTACCGTCCTTACACAGCGCAGACATTACGCTATCAGTTAAATAATGTATTAGCAGACAATGTAAAAGTAATAGTTTTCAGTGAAAAAGCTAGTCTGTGGTGCATTAATATGAATAAATGAAAATCAGCTCAATATTTTAACAGAAAACATTCACTAAGAAACCCACTTTTCAATTTTCATTTTAGGCAAAAAAGAAAGACGAAAAGAAAGCACAGGTAATTTGTTCTAGACTAGCTTTGTGTCGCACAGATTGCTGCATGAACAGATTCAAAGGAGTAAGACTTTCAGAACATTAAATGAAGGAATTTTAGGTCTATTCTTTTTTTCCATAAATCTGCTTGATTCTAGTTTAAAGATACAGTGAGAAGATAAAAGGCTATGCGGCACATGCAAAGGTAGTTTGTATATGGTTTTCAGGTTGTGTGACAGTGGGTGTCAGCAGACTCCTTACTAGATGTCTAGGGAGAGCTGTTGACAGGTGTTCCAGGTGGGTCCATTTAGTCCTCTTGTTTTGTCTTGGATTGTGAGGACAGCTTCAGGCTGCTCCAGAGAGAGAAAAGGTGGAGGGAGCAGAGAATGTACATACATTTCATATTTTTTCCTCTGAGATAACAAGAAACATGTTTAAAACAAAAGACTATCATTCATTTGGTTTGGTGTTACACATATGATGCAAAAAAATAATTGCCCTATTCAGTAGCTATATATTTGAAGTGTTGAGGGCTTAAAATACCAACCATGGTATACTTTCATTACATTCTATATAATTGTTTCTGAGACTGAAAACAATACATAGATATGAAATTATATAGATAATTAAAGTCAGCTACAGAATATTTTATACCATTTGTGTATTTGCAGTGTACTGTATCGGTAATCACCACTAGATAGACATATAATTTACACTGTTGACTCGGAGATGTGTACTGTTTAAACACCATATAACTGTTACTTGTATGCAGGTTCTATTGTATATTGTTAGGAAACAATGATTTTTTGGTCAATCCCTTTTATATCTGATGACTTCAATAACCACCCATATCAACAGGGTTTCAATAGTTTTTTTTTTGGGGGGGGGGGGCACATCACAAATTTTGGAAGTGGCCGCAGGCCAACCCAGAAGGGGTGGGGCCTCAGGCAGAGGGGGCAGGGTTGAGAACTACCCTCCTGGGTATAGTGACATTATTTTCTGACCCAGCTGCAACTAGTAAGAATGGTTTAATTTAAATTATTAAACAGGTTAAGTGTTTTAACTTTCTCATATTAGTTTATCAAAAATATAAGGGGTACAGTGCGCAAGTCAGGGCTGGCAACAAGTAGGATAGGGATGGCAGTAGGGTGTGGGAGCAGGAACAAGGGAGGGTGTTGGAGCAAGCTGGGGGTGCTAGATTTTGGGGGGAGTGAAGTGAGGGGATTGAAGGGGGGGTCTGGGCATGAAGGGGAACCTTACCTGGCTTCATGCCCCCTTGCAGCAACAGCTACAGCTACACTTTCCCAGCCGCCCTAGAAGGAGGCCCCACTGACACAGCGGCCATGGAATCCAGGGCCGGCCCCAGAGGCAGGAGATGCTGCTGCTGTGGCCATGTGGTCTGTGACCGGCCCTTGAGGCACCACTACCGTGGCCACAGGCCAGCCCTGGAGGCACTGTGGCCACGTGGCCCCAGAGGTGCTGCTGCGGCCACACAGACTGGGGCTGGCCCCTGACACACCATGGCCACGTGGCCTTAGGCCACCCTGGAGGCCAGAAGCACTGCTACTGCAGCCACATGGCCCGGGGCTTTTCTCAGGGGTTGGAGGCGCCTGTACCATAGCCAAGCAGCCTGGGGCCAGCCCTGGATGCCAGAGGCGCCGTGGCAGCAGCACCTCCAGCCTCTGGGGCCGGCCCCGGACCACATGGCCAAGGTGCCACTGAGGAGCCTCAGCCCCAGCACTGCCTCCTGCTGCCCTAACCTGCTGCTGGAGGAGGGGAGTATTCTCTAGCGGCTGCACGAGGAGAGGAGAGGAGAGGAGAGGAGAGGAGAGGAGAGGCAGGGCTGAACTCCTGCCCTCGTGGCACACATGCCACAAGTTGGGCACGCCTTTAGAGAGTAGGGCTGGAACTGCCTTGCAGGCTGGATCAAAGCCCTAGGCAGGCCAGATCCAGTCCGCTGAGAGGCTTTTGCCCACCCCTGCTCTATTCTCATGTACCACAGTTGAGGCACTCACCCTCTCATCTCCTTAGGTCAGGGACTGACTTTCTGGGCATGTCTACACTGCTGCTAGGAGTTCAGGTAGACAAACATGCACTAGCTCTGCTCAAGGTAGTGCTCTAAAAATGTCACCGTGGCTTGGTCAGTGGCATGGGCTTAGCTGCCTGAGTACGAGGCTCATCCAAGCTCCGGTAGCTAGTTTGAGTTGCTGCCTGTGTTGCAATGTCTCCACTGCTGTTTTCAACACACTAGCTAAACGGAACGAATGCATGTTTGCTGGGAGGCTTGCTCCTTGCTGCAGGGCAGATAGTTGTGTTCATACAGAGCTCAGAGTAAGGGACTGGGACCTTTAGGTGCTTTTCTAATACAAGTTGTACCCAATAATAAGATTGAATTTCTCCATGAGCTCTATCAGTGTTACTCCACCATCCTAAGAAATTTGGCTGTTACTTATTATTGGCAAGATTTTTTAAAACATTGCATGGATGTGTTACAAATTCATCTGCTGTTCAACAAAGCCTTGCACGTCTGAATCTCTTTTTCCTGTTTAGATTGAACTTCTCTGAGTCAGGGATTGTTTAAAGTTAACCACATGAATATGTGTGTTGCTGAGTTGTTGAAAGAATTCTCAGCATCCTACAGAACTTTCAATTTGTCTTCAGCTGAATCCTTGGGAAAGACAGTTTTCCCAAAATGGAAGAAGCCATGGTTCCACCTTCATAATCTTATAAATCCCATGGAATTAATTTGTATTAAGATCATCTGCACAGAGATCTTGTGCTCAAGTTCTACCACTTCACAGCATGGCTCCATGGGATCTGTCCTACTACAGGAATCTTCTTGCCACTCATGCTCCCATGAATCCTTTTAAAGGGCTGATGGATGTTTCACAGTACTGTGGGGTTCCATGTAAAGGCGTAGATCTTTATTCACATGGTCTTGAACAGGCTTGTCCTCTACAGCATGCCTGGGAGGCAAAAATTAGTGCCATTGAGGAAGATGATCCATACATTGATTGTATGGTCTGAGCTGTCCCAGTATATGAAGCAGATCTTTACTAACATGATGATAGTGTTATCTTTCTTTTCTCTATATCTATGTGTAATTCCACAATAATGTAAGTAATATTGGGAAATAATAGGCTAAAACTATTATAAACCAGTGTTTTAATAAGGTGGTACATGTACATGGTACATGTGCACAAAGTGCAGTACTGGCTAGTAAAAAAAATAGAGTTTTTATTTTCAGAACATTTGGATTTTCAGCTCTATTTAAAAGCAACATTTTTCCCAGAAATGCAATATAAATAAATCAAGTATTTCTCTGAGGTGGTAATCATCTCCTTTTGTCCTGAAAGCGAGCTCTTGCTAGTCATGAGTGACCATTACTGTATATGAAATGATAGACATGTGAGTGTGACAAATATATAAAAAAATTATTAATCAGAATGATATGATTCTTGTAACAGATAAAGGCCAATGGTGAACTGCTTATTAAAAATGTACAGCTGCGGCATGCTGGAAGATACACATGCACGGCACAGACAATTGTTGATAACTCTTCAGCTTCTGCTGACCTTGTTGTAAGAGGTAAGATTTTTTTCAAGTTAAAATAATTAAATATTTTGCTATTTCTCATATAAGTTATCAGAGTGAGTCTGGTAGGGATATTTTCATTAAAACCATTTTATTTGTTATCAAGCATTGATGGAGATTAAAATTAGGAGGGAATTATTGTTTGAACACCTCCTAATAAATCTGTTTGTGATTGTGATTCCAGTAGATATTTAAAGGTGTGTGTACTTTTTAAAATATATCCAGTGTGCTTCTAATGCGTTTTCTGTATAAGAATAAAAGTTTCAGTATCACATTTTTCCTGATTTAATATTTTTAAGACAACTTACTTTGGTGTTCACTTTTGTGTAATAAAACTTCTCAAGATAGATTGAAGAAATTGTGTCTTTCCTGTTTGTCTACTAAAAGAAATTTTGAAACAGCCATTTGTAATGCTTCCTTGAATTATATATTGTGTATGAAACTACACATTACAGTACAAATGCTACTGATGTATAAATGATTGAAACAAGGACATTGAGAGTGAAGTGTCTCACTCTGTTAACTCATTCTTCTGTCCCTAAGTATTGCTGTGGTCATAGAATAGTGTGCTTACGCATATGGTAGGTATCTTAAAAGATTTGTTACAATGCATAGGTTCAACAGGGTGAGTTAATCTGTTTTTTTTTTCTGGCCTTCATGCACAACTTCTGTGCAAACAGCATGCTCTGAAATGCTGATGCTCTGGAATGTTGGTATTTCAAAAGTGACATACTTGACGCATGGGCAGCACAGGCAGTATGTTTTGCCATACTTACCAGGTATGTTAGACAGCAGCTTGGTAGCTAAATGTAAGCGGGGGAATGGTCCTGCTATTGTGGGGAACTTTCCTGGCTTCTATACACCCCGGTGAAATGAACCAGCGAAAGGATCTGAGTCCCCGCTCCCACTTCCTTTACCCCACGGCTCCCTGATCCTGAGGGCTCCCCCTCCACTCTCCTGAGTAGCAGAGCCCTTGAAACCCCAACAAGGCTGGGCCCAGGTTTCCTGGGGCTTAATCCCTGACCTTGTAGTCACTAGGGGCAGGAGTTAGGGTGTCCCCACTCCGAGGTGCTCTCTTTACACTGCAGGCCTTCTTGGCCCAGTGATCACTTCATAAGGTTCAAAGCAAATACAATTTATTAAACAACAACGGATTAAAGAGAAAAGAATAAGAAAAAAATGAGAATGGTTAAATGAGAACACACAGCCCTGCTCTGTAGCACAGGGACATCAAAACAGCAGTCTGCAGCTCCTGAGTAGCAGAGCCCTTGAAACCCCAACAAGGCTGGGCCCAGGTTTCCTGGGGCTTAATCCCTGACCTTGTAGTCACTAGGGGCAGGAGTTAGGGTGTCCCCACTCCGAGGTGCTCTCTTTACACTGCCGGCCTTCTTGGCCCAGTGATCACTTCATAAGGTTCAAAGCAAATACAATTTATTAAACAACAACGGATTAAAAGAGAAAAGAATAAGAAAAAATGAGAATGGTTAAATGAGAACACACAGCTCTGCTCTGTAGCACAGGGACATCAAAACAGCAGCCTGCAGAGTATAAGGACAGTCCACAGTCTCTTTCTTAGAGGCCCTAGATATGCAGCAGGGGGGCTACAGGCTGGACACACTAGCTCTGGTAGTGACCACACAGTCTCAAGCTCGAAGTGGCCAGACCCCTCTCCCAGTCCAGAGCCTCTCCCCACACTTTGCAGTTCCCAGCTGCTCACCACATCCAGCTGCAGGGTGCTGCTTGGCCAGTCTCTAGCTTCCTGCGTTGCTTCTCTGTTCCTTTTGGCTCTCTGAGCACTGCCAGTCTGCTCCTTGTGCTCTGTATGCCTGGCTCTGCTGCTGCAAAAACTGCCCCTCAGCACAGCTTGCACTCCTCTTAGCAGTGTCTCAGCTCTCTGTTCCTTTTGCAGGACTTCTTCATACAGCTTGCACTGCTCTTTTCAGCTCTCTGTCTTTGCAGGACCTCTTCTGCACACAGCTTGTTTGTTTAGAGAGAGAGAGAGAGCCAGAACAATCCCAGCTCACAGGGAGGACGGGGCCTGGCCTCTCCCCTTCCTCACTGGCCTGTCCAACCTGTCAATCAGGCTGAGCTGGAGTGTTGGCTGCTTTCCATTGTCTCTGGGGTCAGTCAGTCTCATGAACTCTTCCCCTTCAGATACTGTGAGCTGGCAAACCAAAAACTCCCACAGAGTTTTAGTAAGGGGTAACAGTCCCCTTACATAAAGGACATTTTATGCCTTCACTCAGAATTTCCCTCATTTTTTGGGGCCGGAAGATTTTCACATTGTTGTAGATTTTTTTATTTAATGTTTTTATTAATAACAGCAAATGAAGTTTTGATTGACACTGTAACTGTAGAGTAATTATAATTTCAGTTGTCTGAATCTACTAACATTATAGAAGACTCTTTTGGAAGGAAATAGTCCATTTAGATGGCTTAATAGTACAATAATAGGAGGCATCTCTTTTTTTTAAATAAAGGATATACTTCTTCAAACCCAACATGCTAGAAGTAGTATTAGTACCATTCACATAATGAAATACTGTGAAAGACACTACTACCAGCATTGCATTTGATGTTCAGGTTCTACAGAATGGTGTAAGACCACATGGGGCTAAGATCCTCTTCCCATTGACATCAGTGGGCTCTGTCGCCAGAGCCATGTAGATTAGTTTACTAGACATACTCAAATGAAGCAGTGATTTAAATAATTGCCGCTTCATTTAAATTCAAATGGCTGCCGCACTGTGCCGATCAGCTGTTTGGCGGCACAGCGCTGTAGTCTGGATGCTCCGCGGTCAACATCAAAGGCATTTATCGACCTCCCCAGTATGCCTCGTGGGATGAGGTTTACCGGGGAGGTCGACAAATGCCTTTGATGTCGACCACAGAGTGTTCAGACTACAGCGCTGTGCTGCCAAACAGCTGATCGGGACAGCGTGGCAGCCATTTTAATTTAAATGAAGCGGCAATTATTTAAATCACTGCTTCATTTGAGTATGTCTAGTAAACTAATCTACATGGCTCTGGCGACAGAGCCATGTAGTCTAGACATACCCTGGGAGTGCTTAACACTTAACAGATAATGTTTGTAATGGGGTCAACTTACTGGTGTGGTGACTCCTGCTGGTCTCCTCAGGAATTAGCTCTTCTTCAGCCTTGGATCACCTTCTGTTGCCTGGTGCCTCAACCTAATTTACTGTCTTCTGTGCTTCTTCAAGCCCCATGTCCCTTCTGGCCCCGGTACCATTTCCTCAAGACACTGCCCTACAGCAGTGCCCCCATACTTTGGGGTCCTCCCCTCCCAGGGAACCCCATTACTCTATGCCCATCCTGGCTCAGTGACCAATAGAGAGTTGTCATCTAGCCCCTGCTGCAGGGCAAACTGCAGTCTGAAATGGCCACTCATCATTGGCAAGGGTGTGGACCTGCTGTCTCCTCCCAGCCTGGCTGTCTCCCTGCAGCTCTAGTATCCTTCAGGACTCTGTATCAGGCTTGCAGCCTGGGAGTTAGATCTGGCCAGAGCTCCCCAACTCTGTCTGCCTTTCCCCAGCATTGCTGTGTCTCAGGTACCCTCTGTAGCTTCCCAGGTAGCCTAGTCCCTCCTGTTCCACAGCTGGAGTAAGAGTCTGCTCCTCTCAGCCCTTGCAGCATTTTATAGGGCCCATGCTGGTCCTAATTGGCTGATTGCCCCCCACCCTAATTGGCCAGGGTTGCACAAGCCTCTTCTGGCTTACTTGTAACCCTTTCCCTGCTGGAGTGGGCTACCATAACAATGTACTACTGAACCAAGTCTGCCCAATGTGACAAAAGTGGCATTGTCACTACAGTCCATAGCATGATATTTCAGTGAAGCATGACAATAAAATAGTCTGCTGATCTATGGTAATACAGAGCTAGGTGAAATAGGATACAGGATGTCTCACAGGTGAAGTATTAGAAAAAAAGCCACCGTGCATTAAATGTTTTCCTGATTCTACAAACAGTACATCCATTTATCTGAATTAATGCTACATCCCTTCTGACATCACAGTTAGGATAGCAGAACTGCTGAGGTGCTCAGTGGGGGTTTTACAGTGTTTTGAAGCCCATACCATTGACTCAGTTACCTGAATGGTTTAACAATGAATTACACAGGTAAGAAAGGCACCCATAAGTGATGTTAAAGGACATACAAATGGACCACTGCAGGGCAAACCTGACCAGCTCAGTCTGTGCAGCTGAACCAGCAGAAAATTGTGGTCATTCATGTCAAAAGCAGATGATAGATCTAGCTGTACCAACACAGAGAGGGATTTGGCATCAGTCTTCACAAACAGGGCTATCTCTATACCATAGTCAGAAACTGGAAATTCTTAATTTATTCAGCCAATGACCTTTTCAGTCGCCTTCCCTTGGAAAGGATGGTTCAAAAGTTGGTAACAAATAGGTATGTCTCTGATGTCAAGAGATGGACTTTTAACAAAAGTTGAAGATTGGCTATCTAGTGTGTTGAACTTCCTAAAGAATTCATTGATGCAAATGGGTTATCACTTTACTCTTGTCTTTTGCAAGTGACAGACAGGAATCCAGCCCAAAGGTCACAGACCTCAGTTCTAACAACCCTCCATATCTTTTCAGATGAGATACCAAATCTAACCAGGATAGCAAAAATATTTGTCTCGTCTGTCCTCACTTCTGATTTCTGGGTGTGAAAGGGACTCGATATAATATGATTTTGGTGACCATGTTGTATTTCTCACAGCATGCAACTGGATAACCGAACTGTTCACTGCCTTAAACGTCTTTGGCCAATGAAAATGAAACTTTGCCATACCAAAAGTAGAGCTAAACTTTGTTCCCCCAAGTTGAACTATAAACCATGGAGAATATGTAAAAGAAAGAATAGTTATCATAGCTTCCCAACAATGCAGTTCAATTTCAATAGATGAGAGAGAGGCATACATGAGGTATTGTTTTTAATTGTATATTAAGTTTTATAGGAAAAAGAAGTA